AGTTAGCAAAAAGAACATTACAAGATATGACGATTTGATAAAAAACAAGTGGCTTTATTCACTAAAAAGTTTTTTCATGTGAAATTTAACAAAATACATTCATAAATATCTTGTGACATACAAATTACTTGTTTGGGACTATTTAACTGAATTTGGATGTTTAATGTGAAAACAACAACAAAAACAAAAAACGGAACAATTGTTAGTTGCCAATATACATTTGTAACTTCAGTTAATGTCTTTGATAAGTCACGATCTCTACTTGGCTGCCATCATTCGAACGAATTCTGAAAATAAAGAATAAGATTATCCAACTTTTGTTTTCTTTGTGAGAAATAATGCTCTACTCATTAATAAAGGGCCTCCTTGGAAGAGATTTTAATGTCGAATCATTTGCCCTTAAACCTTAGGATTGTAACATACCAAAGGTTTTTGATTCTTTCATGAGAAAGACGGTACGTTTCATGTACTCGCTCCTGTCTGAGATAATACACGGATGCATTCCGAGGTCTTCATCAATAAATACATGTATAATATTTAAATATGACTTTTTAGAGTGTGAGTGTAAATTAAAATCGACAGAACAAAAAGAATATGGATTGATTTGCATTTATTTTATACAGTTTATACAGTTTATTTTGGCTAAATCGGCATGAGAAAATGCCTTTGGCCATTTACAATAACTTTCATGATGGCCAAGACAACAGAAATATATACAATATAAATATAACATACAAAAACATATATACATCAAACGATTATTTTAACAATATTTCTATAACTTGAAAGTACTTTAAACAGATATTTTAAGGAGCAGCCATATTTGCAAGAAATTCTGCTCTTAATTTCATAGCACATGAAGTAAATTTTGCAACATTTCTTATTTTTCTTATATTTTTACTTGACAAAAGAAAATAAAATTTATTTAGAGTAGGAAAGGAATAGTTTATACAATATCTTTTACGCAACTCTCTGTAAATAGGACAACAGAGTAAAAAATGATATTCGTTTTCAACATGAGTACTACACATTTTACAGATACGATCGTTTCTATCAATTCCAACAAATCTACCATTTTCAACTTCTAAATTATGTGACGACAATCTAAATCGAGACATTGTTTGTCTACAGGAACTTTTATCTAACACCGTCAAATATTTTTCAAAAGAAAATTCTGTCTTGAACAAACAGTAAAATTTAAGTTTTGGTTGATTTGCAATTGTTTCGCTCCACTCTTGTACGTATTGATCCCGTAATCTTTGCTTTAATACAGACATATAGTTATTATCAAAATTTGTTTCATTCCATAATTTATTTAATATTGATAAGCTAACAAAATAACTGAGATCAAGTAGTAAAAGAAACATTTATCATTCATTATACGATCGTATATAGTTAAGCTAAGGACTGTTTCGATGATGACGAAAGGTAACAAAGATATTAAATATCTGTCTGAACAATTTTGTGCCTACCTTCATAATTGATTTGTCCGTCGCAGTTGACATCTGCTTCTCTAATCATGTCATCAATCTCGGCATCAGAGAGTTTCTCTCCGAGATTTGTCATCACGTGCCTTAGTTCTGACGACGAAATCTGACCATTACCGTCTATGTCGAACACTTTAAAAGCCGAACGTAGTTCCGCTTCCGTGTAATTCTCATTCATTTTCCTCTTCATTAATGTTAAAAATTCTGTAAAGTCTATAGATCCGCTTCCTAGAAAATACAATTCTATATGATCTGAAAAAGGTTAAGATATTTGGAAAAATTGACAAAGTATTTGTCTTGGAAAAAAAATCAATAACTAACAAACAATTAACTTGAAAGTACATAGAAATATTGTTAAGAAATTAGATGCCTACCATCAGCGTCCACTTTGTTAATTATTTCTTGCAGTTCTGGTCCTGTGGGGTTTTGACCAAGTGATCTCATTACTTTACCCAGTTCTTGTGTTGTTATAGCCCCATCTCCATCCTTATCAAACAGGTTGAACACCTCTTTACATTCTTAAACATGTAATATCGTATATCTATTATGTTAGAAAATATATGAGCCGCGTCACGACAAAACCAACATAATGAGTTTGCGACCAGCATGGATCCAGACCAGCCTGCGCATCCGCGCAGTCTGATCAGGATCCATGCTGTTCGCTATCAGTTTCTTTACTTGTTATAGGGTTTTTAAGCAAACAGCATGGATCCTGATCAGACTGCGCGGATGGTCTGGATCCATGCTGGTCGCAAACTCATTATGTTGGATTTGTCGCGACGCGGCTCATATCTCATTATCTATTATGTTAGAGTACATATTTCATTATCTATTTAAAGATATAAAAGATCTCACCAATGATCAAACTTTACTTGTGGGATACATTTCACTGACTAAACTAGAGTTTTTGTGATTTCAAGAACATAAATCGTACATGGCAATTTATTTTTTTAATTTCAGTCCATTTATATGTTAAGTATGAAATTTAATTTATGATTTTATATATAAATCAATAAGCTCTTAAACATTAAATCATTCCAACATTATTTTACTGCTAGAAAAAACACAGGTTCTAAGTTAGAAAATATGTAAAAATTAGAATACTACTATAAGTCAAATATTTTGTCAGAAACGTTTATTATATCATTATAACAAAAAATATGAGATATCAAGAAATTCGTGATACATTAGTCATTATGTACATGCCAGCTGTATTATTGTCGAATATAATACCATATTATACCTTTAACTTGTTCATCAGTCAGCAGATCAGCCTAAAATATTTATATAAAACATGTAAGTTATAAGGCTACTAAGTTCTACTTCTTTAGAAACAAATGTGCCATCTTACTGTATGCTATATATAATGCCACTGATTTCAATAATGTTGAAATTTAGTTACAAGATACACAAGTCGTTAGAGGTCTTAGCTCCTGGTCGAGAAATGTAAAGAATAAAGACACGTGTAAATAATTAAATTTGAAAGAAGCATGGTTTAAGTATTGAAACATTTCATACGTCACTTTAATGAATTAATACATATACCTAAATAACATATATTAACTATGCCATGTATACGACAAAGGTGTTAAAAGGAAATATGTTCCTGAGACTAAACTACGAAATAACTTACCATATTTACAAGGTAATTCAGTCCTATAACTAACTTTGTATTACAGAAATTTTCGGATAAAATAACCTATGCCGCCTTGACCAGTGATGAGAAAATGATATTTCAATAATAATACATTTTCCTTTCCAGAATCTCATATGCACAATTATGTTTTATGAAATAATTATAACATGTTTTATTTCTGTTAGTCGAGCAAAGAGAAAATCAATGCTATTACACTACATGCAAACTGTCATGTCAACAGACAGGGATTTGTGTTTTATGAGAAATTTAAACTTGCAAGTCCGTAATTATTGAAAAAAAGTAATATTGCGCACGCGCAAGTTTATTGGGCGATATGGAGAGAGAAAGTGTTCCTAAAATAGATCTAATAAACTCTTTTAATTTCATACATATCTAGTTTCTAATATTTCTACTCCAATCTTATATCTTTATTATTGATTTAATTAAGTGTACACTGTTTCACCTTGAATTATGTTTACAGACTGGTAAAGATGCTGGTGTGTTTTTCCAAGACCGACAAAACTTAAATTAGAATATAAGATGTTGTTACTAAAGGAAATTTTAATAACCGTTTTTAACGAATGACTGGACATCTAAAATAAGGCATCAACAGACTGTAGGGTTTAGAACTACAACATCAATCAAAACGAGCAAATTTTAATGTACAAAGGCTACTATTTTTGAATGGATAAAACATGTTCTATTTGTAATTCATATTGCACAGACATGCTGAGTAAAGAGGATGTTGAAAACATTTTGGGTAGCCGAAGTTTGTTGGATGTTTGAATCACAAATACGTAAGAAATGGATTATAAACTATACTGAGATTTTTCTTTTAAATACAGGACTTTCCTGATTGGGATCATTTTTCATGAAAGCAAGACACTTCTTTACCGTAAGACCTGGATACAGAACAGGCCTAGGGTGCTCAGCTATTCCTTTATTCCTAAAGTATATAGTAATTTCCTAAATGCTGCAATTCACGACCGAATCTTTTGTCTACCTCATAAACAATATCCTGTATTGTAAATATCAGCACTAATAACATTTACAGACATTCCAGTAATAATAATGTCTAAATTATGCAAGGGATGTTTTTAGAGCGACATATTTTGTAGGGACACATGATAATTCATATTATATAAATTAACGGTCTGATGTGTTGCATTGCTTTTCTTTTTCTTTACAACCAACTAAAACGTGATTTTCTTTCATAGAAGTGTTATTGTTTTTAAATACATAACTTTTTATGACAACTTTTTAAGGAACATACGTGTATTAACTTCATTTTTGTGAAATTTAGATTGAAATTGTCTGTAACAACCAATACCTTCCACTTGAGAAACATTACAGTAAAGTGGATTGTTTAGTTAAATAAGTTATAAAAGCCTTATCGCTATATACATATATATTTTAAATGACACACAATGTTTTAATGAAAACATGAAAATGTATGTCAAACTAATTATTTAAGATTGTTTTTCTTCAAACAATACAATTAACGATACATTTCATAATTCTATTCGCATGACGATTTTTCGATAAAATATATAAATTGTACCACCCGACTAGATGAGAAAACTTCCTGTAGGAGAACATATTAATATCCCATCTTAAAAAGTAATTTAACTTGTCTTAAATTTAATAATGCCAAATAATAGGCAGTACAATATACAGTAGGTTTATAATAACATTTACTGATATTGATTAAGGAATTTTACAAATTTTGGAAATTGTAGGCCGGCCTACAGTTGCTTGGATTTTCTCAATCGTCACCTTTGAAAATAGAGAAAAACGTAAGCCTATTTGAGAGAGATAAGGAATAATCTAGTATCAATAAAATTGTTAACCATTAACGCAATGGATAAAGCGATGTGGGTCACCACAGTAGCGTGAACTAGTTGGACCAATTCCGCCCAAATCAGTTTAACTGTTACACATATTCAATATTTTGTTTTTACCTCCGATTTCTTCATTATTATTTGTTATCAACTATGACGGTAAAACTTCCCACTAATCTATGGTACTTTAATTATATCTTTTGATATTCTTTTTGCTTTTCTTAGTCATTGTCTGTTATGAGTCTTCTGTAAATAATCTTTTTTAAGAATTGCATTTTTTATTTCTTAATTAAACCGAAATATCACGTTTAAGTGCGAGTTTGCGTTCGTTTAGCCGCTCTTCCTGGTTGTTCCTTTCTTTCGTGCCATTGATAATATTATCGTATACTTGTTTAGACACATTTGGATCTCTTGTTTATTCAATGATATAAGAAGGAGCAATATATTGTCCATTTCTAAAAGTAACTTCATGTCTTGAATGAGTGATCTTGTAAAACATCTTGGGAAGTGTTCAATAAAACTATACACAGGAATGGATCAATCTCTTTAAAATCAGATCATCGTTTTCGCTCCTTTACTCTTTGCTACGAAGCGATGAGTAGAGCGACAGTTGGGATATGATTTGAATGAGATTTGGAAATGGATATTTCGCTAATTAGTTCGTATCTTGTATATATGTGATCGGTGATTGACGATCTATTTTTGTAACAAATGTTAGAAGTTTCACTTACTGTTTTCATTTTTATTGGGTCAAGCCAAATTATTAAGTAACATCATGCCACATTTTATTAGTAAATCAGTTTGATTTTTTCCGGGTACACGTATGTAGTTAATGTCACCTTGAGTTTCAATATAGAAACAATCAACTTTATCTAGTAACTGTCCAAATATGCCAATTTAAAATTGACTACTATCCGCTGGCCTATATACAAACATTATTAAGAACGGTTTAGAATTACTTTATGTTATATGAATACAGGTAGATTCAATATGTGGGTGTTCAAGATCAAAACGACGCTTGTAAGATACTTTATTAGATTTTGAGCACTTCAGCAATTTCTACATACCGCTAAGCAGAATTTTATTAATCTTCAAAGCAATGATCCTTGTTTTAAACGAATAACTGTTAGGTTAAGAAACTCTTAAACAAAATACCAAACATTTGATGCCGTTGGGAGCATATTCTTGCTGCTTTGTCAATCTGTATATCTGTACATTCTTCCTTCTACAGTTAATCGTTTCTTATCCAGAGAAAAAAGGACGCCGCCAAATATTACAGACTTGAATGTAAACCATTTTCACATATTCATTTAAAGCAGTAATTTGATGATTTAAAGTCTTATATCCTAATACAATTTAGTTTGAATATAAACTTTACATTTTTTGCTAAGTTTCAGTGTAAATATTTTCGACAATTATTTCATTACCGTCGTACAGATGATTTTAAATGTCACTTTCGTATTAAATCAATTTGAATTAAGGATAAAGATAACTTCTTTTACTGATTTGCATTAGTCGTGTGTTAGAGAGGAGGGCGACCCCTATATCTAAGATTTTTGGCCACACATTTTTTTTAAAAATATTTTCTCAGTAGCTTGTGTATCACCTTTTGCTTTAAAAACAACTGCTTGGCAACGCCTTCTCGTGAGGTTTCTGACAGTCCTAGCGGGGATAACTGCCTACACTTGCACCAATATAACATCAAATTCTTGGTTCATTCTTGGATCTAAACGGGCCCGGACACTCAAGAATAGGTCTTTTAGCTATTGTCATCACCCTTTGTTGGCCTACCACATTCCTCCTGACGGATGTACCTTGCCCGGGCTGTGATAATGGTATGGTGTACACACTTAGCTAACTGTATGGAATACCCCACCCCCTGCTGCACTATCCCTAAAACTTTTCACATCTTTACATTGCTTCATCCAAATGCCTTCTTAACATAGCGTTTTCCATGACAAATGTTAAAAAGTCTGACCTTTAAATGGAGCATACATTTGTAATATCGGTTTAATCTCGGTGTACAAGTGTGCCCGCCGCTCCCACTTAAAACAAGAAGAAAAACTGACGAGGGGCGCATGCTGTTCAAAACTACGTGACTAGGTTTACTGAATGAAACATCTTGCGATTAGGTTGAAGCCATTTCAAAACATTGCTGAATCAAACTATACAGATAAAAAAATGAATACTTATTATATAGTGAGAAACTTATGGTGCATAGCTAAAGTTAAGTAGTATATATACGTAAATTAAACTTTAACTACAGCGTTTTGTCCATTTACAACATGCAAAGTATATATTCTTTTCATTCAATTGATTCCTTTTAACCTTTTAACAGTGTGCATCTTATAAAGTTATTGGACAGGTAATGTTTTTGATTCAACGTCATTGTCAATGAGTGACATAGAATCAATGGGGTTTATCTACTAGCCAAGAGCAACCATGTAATACGAGAGGTCACCTACCACCCTTGAGCAATCTGCCATGTACTAGTATGTATTAGGGTTTAAAACAAATTGCTCTTTTTCAAAAGTGACGAAATGAATGGCTTTTGTTTTCTTGTTGAATGTCACTGTAACTTAGGCATTAGTTTGAGTGGCCATGTATTGGTCATGACTAATCTTTCTTTAAAGTACGAAGACAGCACACCTAATGGTTATCGGGTAAATGAGCGACTTCGATGTAGCTTATGGATAGACGCACGGACAAACGTTATTAATTAATTAATTTATTTATTTATTATTATTATTATTATTATTATTATTATTATTATTATTATTATTATTATTATTATTTGCATTCACGAATAAAAGTACATGATTCATGTCGAAATAGATTCAATGAAGTTTTTCCCTTTTTAGTTTAAACTAAATATTCATTACCATTGAATTTCAACACAACAGTGTCATCTATAAAGAAACCATAAAATAAAGAATTACAAACACTTCATGAATAATTGAATCATTCGTTTGAATGCTTTTAAAATGCTAGTTAACATCGGGATAATATTTGTTCCTCAATGTAAAATATATATGTGCAATATACTTGTATGCAACTTTATTTGTTTATCGAAAATAATACCATAACCTTGGAAATATTTTTTTTCAAAAGTTCTAGAAATGTGATTTTGTTACAGACTTTGAATGTAATCACTTAATCAAATTCCAAGAGCTATTTTCGTCGTCCTTCTATTTGTAGACTTTCATTTTGAAATTAATTTCGAACATTCCCCTGACTTCAGTGTTGAAGAGAATTTATATATTGTAGACGTCAATTTAATTGAATAGCTTACAAGTCTGTAAGGATTACATCAAACATTTTTGTAACATAAACGAGATAAAAAAGCAATAAATTAGAACCGTCTATTATTAGGAATGTTTCATAATTAAAGCCACTATTATGTACCAAGACATTGTACATTGTGATTTATTCTTTAGAAATACTAGTAAACAAATATAATGTTTTCATTTTTTGGCATGTAAATAATCATATTATAAGATATGTGAATTTTAGATGTGTTTTATTTTGAACATTGTGCAATGTTTTACTACTTAAATATTTTATTTGAATAAAAAAATGAGATAGATTATTGAAATAAAATAGAAAAGGAAAAATCCATTGAAAATTCTTTTTGATAAAGTACTTTACCTTGCACTCGCATTTTGATGATATTTTTGTCAGGGATTCGCAAAGTCTTTAAATGAAATTGTCATATAAATAGATTTTATTTAGTGAGTGCACATATAAATAACATAGTCATCATGAACTGTTGGATTGTAAGGTATATGTTCACAATTGTTAAACTATTGTTAAACTTAGCATTTGTAAAGGGTATACTTCGGGACAAATTGTCACTCTTTTATGAATGTAGAATAGTTTTAAAACAGTTTAATGTAATTAAAAAAGGTTAATAGAAACAATGATATACAGGTATTGCAAGTATAGTTCTGTAATCATACCCTTTGATAATATTTTGTTGGTTTTTGCTTACAAGGAATCTTATAAAGAAACAAAAATAATTGCACGAACAAAACAAATAAAATGAATTAAAAATAAAATTTGTACATAACAATACAAAATACTGAAGAATACACAACATCAATTCTGTTGTTATTGTTCTTGGGTTCTTTTTGCTATGTTAGAAATAACAAACAGTATGATATAAAGGTGGACTATATGCATTTATTACCAGGACAACTACTGCCTGTTGTATGTTTGTAAATGGCATTATAGATACAGATACAGTCATTAAAGAATAGAATACACATTGTATTTCTAATCATATATCACATGTATCACATGTTAAATGATTTACATACAAGTCCGACATTGCGTGCGCCATCAGCGTTCATCCAATCTGTCGTTCAAACTCGGCGACGAAAATTTGTGCCAAGTTCTTAAATGCTTGGTACAAATTTCATATGGTTTTCAAATTTGAAATAGTGTTGGATAGCATGTAAATCATTCAAAATTTAATACTAATTTTCATTGTAAATAACATCTATGGGTGACTTGAATAGGTCAGTGCACAAGAAGATGCGAGCGAGTCAACTGTAGATGTTTCAGAAAATGAACAAGGCTTTGATACAGGAATGAACGAATATTTCACAGATAATTGTACGTAACTATATGATGTCTATATGACAGATATGTACAAAGATGGAATATAAAAAAAACTGACATTTGACATTTTTAAAAATTTTAATTCTACTATTGAAGAGCTGTTTGGTACAAAGAAAACCATAAGCAAACGTTTATAAACAAATAAATAAATAGTTTGAAGAACATGTGGTGAAAGCTACCTTAGCACAAGACATGTGTTAGTAAAGACTGACAAAAATAAATAGTCTTTTTGTGAATGATTTTTAAATTTTCAAAAAAAAAAAAAAAAAAAAAGATTGAAGTAAAATAGTTTTGTAGGTTATACACCAATATGACATAATGTACACATTCTTAATATTAATGAAATACGGTTATTGTTTTTATCACTATCATATAAACAGTGACTGTTTACTTATTTAAATATCTAACGAATATGTGTAAGAATAATTTGATACTAAACGTGAACCGTGACTAATCACTATAAGAATCACACAGTTATTAAATGATTGCTCCAGTTATATAAAAGAAATAGTTTCATGCTTTTTCAAAAGCATGTTTACAAACAACATCATTGCAACTCATCACATCAACTCTGGGCTGTCATCATTGTAACAAATTCTGAAAAGTAATTAAGCGAATATTTCATTATGATTCAATGATACGTACAAAATTTACTTGAAATATTGAATATAGATGTTAAACTATGTTGAATTAATTAATTTGTTTAAGTAAAACCACAAACGGGTGGAAATGGGGATGGGAAATCACGAGTGTGTTTGTACGTCAAAGTGATCACCAAAATCTACTGCTCATTCTGAAATGATGGACATAATGACACCGAAGGTCGTGTAGAAAACAAAAAGTAGCCTTTTCACAAGGCTTAATATAAAGTTTCTATCTTTGCAATATTCGTTATAGATGTATATTACGGGAAATTCTATAAACATTTAATCAACAATATAAATAAGCCGCGTCATGACGAAACCAACATAGTGCGTTTGCGACCAGCATGGATCCAGACCAGCCTGCGCATCCGCGCAGTTTGATCAGGATCCATGCTGTTCGCTTACAAACCCTTTAGCAAGTAGAGAAACTGATAGCAAACAGCATGGATCCTGATCAGACTGCGCGGATGCGCAGGATGGTCTGGATCCATGCTGATCGCAAACGCACTATGTTGGTTTTGTCATGACGCGGCTCAAGTGTTAATTAAGATGTGTATAATAAGTCAACCGTTACCTTGGTAACTTATCTGACCATCACCGTCTACATCTGCTTCTCTCATCATCTCTTTTACCTCGTCATCTGTCATCTTCTCTCCTAGATTCATCATCACATACTTCAACTCTTCCTCGCTTATATAGCCGTTACCATCTTTGTCAAACACCTTCAAAATCAATACTTACACAGATCGATAATATTTTATTAGGAAAAATATCATATAAAAAATCATTGATATTGTGTGATCCCTCGAAAACAGTAATCACAACAAAAATTAAACGAACAGTGCTGGATCATAAATCGCGAAGGACCAGATAAAATATAACAACAACAATAATGCGAATTGCAGACTCAGTTTGATAGAGTCTGTATACATGAGGTATATTGAGAAAACGCATAATCCCTCACGCCCCCTAAGCACCGGCTTGAGCGGTGCTCAATTTTCAACATTTTAAGTGCTTGACTGACCAGGAAAAAAACATTGAAGGGAAGCACGGGGCAAATTTTTGCAGCTGCCACACGGCACTTAATTGACACCTGCTGTTGTGAAGCATAAAATTCTGGATTCGGAGGCCAAACAACTCTGTAAATTATTTACTCTTGAGTACATCGGTTGTGCGTTAAACTGATTTTCTAAAACATTATATGTATGTGATATGAATAACAGAGTAGCGAAGAGAGGAAAAAGTGGTCGCAAAAAGATGACGTTATTGTCTAGTTATCTCCCGTCTACCATGTCTAACTAGCTGTATTTAAGCGATGTACATGTGTCTAGCCAGGCCACTGCACATACATATTGTTGACTGCTTTGTGTTAACATTCTAATATTGAAATATTTGATCGTTAAAATGGACAATTCCAAGTTCAAAGCAATACAAGTCTTCTAATATAAAGTGAACAGGTAGCGTAGAGATAAATTGTTTTATAAGTAATGGTTAATTGTTTTATATATATAGGATAATTACCTTGAATGCTTCCATCAACTCCTCAGGTTCGTTATGTTCAGTCATTCTTCTATTCATCATCTGACAAAATTCTGGAAAATCTATTGTGCCGTTTCCTGTGGAATAAATTTAACAAAACATAAACAAAACAGAAGAAAAAACACAAAAATCATGTTCTCAGTACATGTATATTGAATAAATTTAAATGATAATAGCATTTTACTCGAGTTGCTAAATAGACTAGAAGAACTAAATGATAAAATCTAAATAGCATACTTTAACCCTTTACCACATATATACGCGAAACAACGCACTTTCGACCCCCCCCCCCTTTTTGGGGCCTCAAATAGTGAAAAACTGTCCTATTTGGGCCCCAAACATAAGTTTTCGTTTGAGAAATGTTGCTAAAAAAAATGAGCACTTTTTCGGCGCCGCCCCCCATCCAAAAGATACATCAGGGGGTTGCCAGAAGGGGGATGTGCCCCCTTCTGTTAGGGGGGTTTGAAGGGGGGCGGAGTCCCCCTCATCGCCAAGAAAATTTTGGACTTGTGAGAGGCTAAAAATGACCCCAGGTCGATCATAATGTAACGTTTAACCAACGCTGAAAAGCCTTTGACTCTATCTCAATCCCTTGAGAAGTTGCAGCCCTTTGAAATAAATTTTGATGGAAAAAAATCGAGGCAAAATAGTGATTTTTGACAATTTTGAGATGTCCCCTCGTTGCCATGGTAACAGGAAATTTAAGACCGAGCATGTCGTTACAAAGGCAATGGTCCAGTCAACATTTGTGCCAAGTTTGATTAGTATTGAAGCATTTTTTCATAGTTTCATAGCAGTTTGAACTTGTAACAGGAGGCTTTTCAGTGAAAACGGCCATTTTTCACAATATGCTCATGGGGGAAAGGGTTAACTAAAAAAAATATAAATGTTACAAAACAACAATTTTTCACCAAAATTAGGTGAAAGACCACATGTTAACATGGAAAAACTAGTTTTTAGGTGATTCCAAAGTTTTTCATCATTTTTTGTTAACCCTTTACCACATATATACGCGAAACAACGCACTTTCGACCCCCCCCCCTTTTTTGGGCCTCAAATAGTGAAAAACTGTCCTATTTGGGCCCCAAACATAAGTTTTCGTTTGAGAAATGTTGCTAAAAAAAATGAGCACTTTTTCGGCGCCGCCCTCCATGCAAAAGATACATCAGGGGGTTGCCAGAAGGGGGATGTGCCCCCTTCTGTTAGGGGGGTTTGAAGGGGGGTGGAGTCCCCCTCATCGCCAAGAAAATTTTGGACTTGTGAGAGGCTAAAAATGACCCCAGGTCGATCATAATGTAACGTTTAACCAACGCTGAAAATCCTTTGACTCTATCTCAATCCCTTGAGAAGTTGCAGCCCTTTGAAATAAATTTTGATGGAAAAAATCGAGGCAAAATAGTGATTTTTGGCAATTTTGAGATGTCCCCTCGTTGCCATGGTAACAGGAAATTTAAGACTGAGCATGTCGTTACAAAGGCAATGGTCCAGTCAACATTTGTGCCAAGTTTGATTAGTATTGAAGCATTTTTCATAGTTTCATAGCAGTTTGAACTTGTAACAGGAGGCTTTTCAGTGAAAACGGCCATTTTTCACAATATGCTCATGGGGGAAAGGGTTAATATCGTACATGCTCAAACTCTAAATTACATATTCTAATATAAAATTGCATTTTATAAATTATTTCAATAATTTCAGGACACGTTAAGAGGTAAGCATTATATGTCCATAAAAATCTTGATCTAAACCCCACAAATTATGATATCTATAACTTTAGTAAAACATCTACTTAAAGCAACTACATGTAAATTACGTTAAACAAAATTGAACTGTATGTAAATGTTGCATGCATGAATTTTGTTTTACGAACGACTGTAATTTTAACAATATGTTTCAGTCGGCCTTGAATAAGTTGACACAAGTCAAGCGTAATATTGTGTAGTTTAAACACCCGATAGTATTTTTTAAAATAACTTTGCGACTTAATTTAATAATAGTTATCTTAAAATGTTATACTTATGGTATAAATATGCTCGGATTATAAACGTCCAATAATTGGTGAAGTAATAGGTAGATAGAAACCTTTAAACGATCCAAATAATTACATGTATTACAAATTATTCTCCATATCGTTGAATGAGTAATGCATGGCATTTACTATTATTAATCTTTTCAATACCGTAACAGTAGTTTGGTAAACGCCATAAACATTCTATGAATTAACATTATACATACTTGTATACATTATTTCCATCTAATCACCAAACAATGATATATGTTTAGGTAATTTTCAGTTTACATACCGTCAACATCTACTTCATTTATCATATCTTTAAGTTCTTGTTCCGTCGGGTTTTGACCTAGAGATCTCATTACGACACCAAGTTCCGTTGAAGATATTGTACCATCATTGTCCTTGTCAAACATCTCAAATGCTAACTTAAATTCTATGAAAGAAAGCAATATCTAGATAATATGACAGCGAGTTTCTACTTCATTCAATGTGATTTTAAGACATTTCATTATAATCCACATTTACACGTTATAGTCTTAGACTAATTTTGTGCATGTGTTACAGTTTATAATATATACAAATAAGTATAGAAATATTCTTTCAAAAAGCATAAAAATATTCTACTAAACTAATTATTGGTATACGATAGATGTGCTGAATTCATAACATGTCTTCGCCCCTCAAAAGTCGAAGGCGAAGACATGAAGACACGATACTGTGATCATTTATCGTGTCTTCGCCTACGACATTTAAAGGCGCGGCACGAAGACACGATAATTATATTTTCTAGGTGAAATAACGATACGCCCTATATTTGTCGTTTAGTCGTGTCGTCGCCTCAAAATGCAAAAGGAGAAGACAAGATAATTGTCCAATAGTCGTTTTCCTTCATCCGATGCTTATCAGGAGGATAGACGTGGCTTTCATCAGTTCCTGGTATTTCGATGTTCTTTATTATTAGTACATGTATATAGAGGGTTGTTTTTCCATTTCAAAGAAGGTTTTATTTAGACTTATTACATGCTTTGCAGTGGAAAGTGAAATTAAATTTGATGATTTTCACAGTGAAATTATATTTGGTGGCAAAAACAAGTAAAACTGACGTAAGATCACTAAAAAGCATGAAATAAAAGAAAAATTGTTTGTTTTGCACGTAAGATTGAAATATATTTCACTCGTGAACACCAGCTATTATATCACACAGTGAAATATAATTTCAATCTTACGTGCAAAACAAACAAATATCATCTATGTAATACTAGACGTCTGGCGATTTATGAGCATAAAGATCTTAATTAATTTAATTTTAAAGATTAATTTTGAAGTGTCGATATATTCTACCAATAATAAGCCACATTCAATCTTGTGCCTTTTTTTATATTGATTATATATTTAACAGAAATACTTTAATAGGTCAAATCACTGTTAAGGATATTTACCGTTTGACGGCTTTGATAAGGAAATGATTGTTTTACTCTCGTTTTAAGGGAGTAAATAAACTTAAATTTGATTACGGGTAAAAACATTTTCAAATTTGAACCAACACGAACGTTTGTTTGAAAAAGAAAATATGTAACAATGTTACGTTATCATTCCTCTCACAATGATGAAAACGAAATATTTACCTGCAATAGTTTCGGGATCTAGACTTTCGTCCGTGTCTTGCTTTTTACCTTTGTCTCCCTGTAATAAAACTCATATTAAAATAACAACTCAAATTGCTGTAAAAATCATGAGGAAATAATTCTTTAAAGCCCGATGTCATGTTTTTGGTTATATATATGTAAAAGTACCACTCAAATTAAAGCGTTTTAAGCCATTATTGATTATCTATAATTACAAAGGAAGTGGATTTATTTGACATTTATGATATTTTTGCGATTATAGATGTACATGACCGATGATATCATAATATTTTGTTTAATCTTAAAATCATTGAAATATGATGACTTAATTAGAAGTAAACATCGATTAATGTGATATATAGTATATTTTTAATTGCATATTTCTTATTTTATTTTCAATCTTTAAAATAATACGGTTCAGATCCAGTGACATGCATTATTCATTTTGATCTGTAAAGTCTCTAAAATAAGATAAAATAATCATATGAATAAAAAACACTTAATATTTGAAATAAAAAAAGATAAAGAATATGATTTACAATGGACAAATGTTGTCAGGTATTGGGCAATCTTGTACGAGGAGAAACACATGATTTACAAACTAAATCCTATTATTTATGGTTGTAAATATCTGCATGTTTATGCATATGATCGTTTACTTTCAACGTTAAATATCCCTCCTAACCCTTCCCGACCCCCACCCCACACAAATATTCTTCAAACGAGAAAACTTCCTGTTTAATGTGTTAAAACAAAACAAAAAACATGCAAATTATAAATTGTTTTTATTAAACATGTATTTTTTTAAAATAAAGGTGTTTTTTTTATAAAAAGAAATAAACATACCATGTTATCGTTGTATGTTCAGTATAATTCCTTATTTTGTTGACGATCATACCCTTATTGATCTGTATCTATTTATGTTGAACTATCGGCTGTTCTAACCGCCACAAATAGTGTCATTTTATACCATACCCATTCAGATGGGTATAAATAAAGAAGTTATTGTGTATTCATTTAACTTTAACAAAATGACTATACATTATAATTATATACGTCCACGTTAACCTTGAAATTGCTATGAAAACTTTACAATGAATTAATGTGTCTATAAACAATCAAATAATTGGTTAACTTGATGATTGCAGGGTAAGATAAAAATCATAAATATAAGAAACATTTAAAGATCCTGTAACACATTTTTTTATGGTTTTATATCATAAATATGATGCTCATATTAAGATTTAGCAATTTTGTAAGTTCCAAAAAGCATTATTTATAAAAATATTACCAAATTTAACATTTAATGTAAATAAAGGGAGGTAATAAAAAGTTTATTTTCTATAAAATCTTAGTCAAATTTTTCAATAAGAAATGAATGCATATATTTTAACGATTACATATAATATGTACAAATATTTGCACTACATATTTTACATATTATTCGATGTTATAAGCATAATTATATACATATATATATATAATTTCACTTAAGTGTGGTATACTACCTCAATTACAACATACAGGATCTTTAAATTTGAGCAATTATCTAGCTTTTGAAGAAAATAAAAAAGTTTCATGATGAATATATAGAAAATATATAGAAAAATAATCATTGTTTAATGATAGGGATAGATTGTCTCTATAAAGATATTTCTCTTTCGCTTGTAGATAGCAATCGAAATATATTGTGCACAATCATTTATTTAAATGAAGGTTTTTATTGTATTGTTTATCATTGAGATCTATAGTTAAGGTAAAACGTCACAACTGCCAAAGGTAGGACATGTCTTACGGTAGCTAGCATTTATCACTATCGTGCTGAACCCAACATAGCCGGTAACATTTACAACTTTGCCATGCTGGGCAACCTTTAAGATTTTATTTTGATTAAACAAAACCTCCAGCAGTGTCATATAACGTATCTGCAGTCTGACTGTACTTTAAACACAGGTATTCTTTAATAAACTCGACTCGAATAAATCGACTCGCAAATATACATTTATATCTTATGATCTGAAAGCACAAGATATTAACTGTCTTTGCATACATTCTAAGCTGATATCACCTCGAAAAAAATCCATTTTATTTAGTTCCGCCATAGGTTACACGCATTATTTTACTTGGGGAACATAATCCGTTTGTCACGGAATGGTACGAGAGTGTTCCTTTTAAGGTTCCATGATCACCACCGTATGAAATCATTTGCAGGGGTTTTATAAGCTTAAATTTCAATCATCATCATGTTTAACTGTTGAATTCTGCTTAGGCCGGTGCTTGGGTGCTCAAACAAACCGAGCATGCAACATGTTCTTATCTTACCTTTTGGGCGTTCTTTTCGGATTCCGTTTTTCTTTATTTTGTTAATTACTTCTGCATTTCTTCAAGGAGTGGTAATGGCAGTTTCTTATTACTTTAGTATAAATCAACTTCTTCAATTTTTCTGTATTTATTTAATACTCTGCTCACCGTTATTCAATATGAGCCGCGTCACGACAAAACCAACATAATGGGTTTGCGACCAGCATGGATCCAGACCAGCCTGCGCATTCGCGCAGTCTGATCAGGATCCATGCTGTTCGCTTACCAACACTATTACAAGTAGAGAAACTGATAGCGAACAGCATGGATCCTGATCAGACTGCGCGTGCGCAGGCTGGTCTGGATCCACGCTGGTCGCAAACCCATTATGTTGGTTTTGTCGTGACGCAGCTCATATGTATTGCAAGGTTACATAATGATATGACGAATATGATAGTCTGTGTTGAAAAGATATCTTTCTCATATACTCGTTTATCTTTTAAAGGGGCTCAGCTGAGGTTTTTTATTTTGACATCACGGGTCTTGAAATATTACTTTCCAGATTTTATTACAATTTGATAAAAATCTATACAAAAAAAAAGCTTAAGTGCTAAATTTCAGATCATTCACTCTACCCTTTTTTCCAGAATATACATCTTTATTTAATTTTACCTATGAAATATGGTGCTATATCAGTCAAATATATTTCATATTTTTTAAAAATAAATATGAAATATAAATATGAAAGTGGGCGGAGTCAAAACTCATATTTATTTTAAGGGACTTCTTTCGCCATTTGGTTTGAAAAATCTGATAAATACAAACAACTTTTTTGTTGAATTTTGTTTTGAAAACTATCTAGAATGATAGAAAATGGTCTAACTAAGAAAATAAATCCGAACACCAATATCTTTAATTCAGTCATTAACGCTGTACAGACGTTTAAAAAGTTGTTTACGTGACGTCACAATCTAGCGCTAAATATCGCGTGCAGAACAAGACGGTACTTATATTACTGCGCGCTGTATAATTGCAGTTGCGTAGCAGGCAAGGGGGTTCATAACCATTTTTCTTTGATATTGAAATTAAATAAAAAGGTTATTTTATCGTTTTTCGTGAAATATGGTATATATTTTCACTCAACATGATAAAATGCTTATAGTTTCACTCTCCGTCCCGGATCGTGAAAATATGTGGCATTTTATCATGTTTCGTGAAAATATATTCCATATTTCACTCAAACGAAAAAATATCCTCTTAATATTATGCAAAATGACCTCAAATCGGGTCAAGAATCGCATTTAAAATTTTCATATTTCTTTATCATTCGTTTCATATTTTTTCAATTCAAGTGCCCACATGTTTTTATGCTTTTGGGCCTTTGTGGAGCTCCTTTAATTGTCATAAGTCACATTGAACGGAATCACCAAATCAGTAATGCCAATAATTATCTAAGTCTTTGGCAAGGTTACATCTGTTTTGTTCTTGGACTTTGATAATTATTTAGGTAAAAGGACAAGATTTTGAATTTGTATTTTTTAATCTGTATTTACTAATTAATTCTTTCATTTATTATACACAATCATTACTGAAATAAAACAATTAAATCAGACAATTGCCTCCACTAACGAGAAAGCTGGAGCAGATCCGTGGTCAAGTGGTTATGCATTGGACTAGTAATCCAGTGATTGCAGGTTCGACTTCCCGAGTCTTTTAAAAACCGCGGTCCAATGTACCCCGGTATCCATACACAAATCCGAAAATAATGACTTACTCTTCAGGGGCGTCACAGTATGGGTAAACGATACGCGGCAGTAAATAAACCGAACAAAAATAACTTAAGGTGAACATAATACATTGAACAATGAAGTTTTATATCATGAAATATGCAACATCAGAAACGTCCTCTTTTCGTCAGAAGCATTATCTACATCACGATATAAATGAAGCGTCACAAATACTTCACAAGCATATTTCTGATTTAATTACCTTTTCCTGAAAAAAGGTTTATATTATATTGCGTAAGTTAAGTCCACTGTTCATATCATGTCCAGAGTGGCACTTAGTGAAACACAACTGGTATAGCAACGAATGTTTATCACTTGTGATTTACAGTAATGATATAACACAATGAATAAGCACGAGATTTCCAAGCTGCCCAGATCACAACATTGAAATAGTGAATAGAATCACCCATACAACTCTTGAAGCGTTAACATCCGACAAAATTCTGAAATAAAACAATAAATAGATTGTAAGATTTTAGTTATATACACAAGGACATCATTATATGTAAGTACCACTGTTAACCATTTTTATTTGTTTGGGTCGTCAGACCAAACAAATAATGGTAGCGAAATTTCAGACTCTAATGCTGTTAATTGCAAATGCCGAAAGTAGTCCGCTTTTTTGTAGCGGTTACTTCCCTTTATATGTACACTAAGGCCGAAAAATTCAGGGGAGATCACTGCGTAAAGATGGTCAAATGACAGCGCATTAATTTTCAAGCAAAATAATTCCCGAATGGTCGAAGATTTCTAATATTGTTTTATTCTTTATAGATATACATGCTTATAGTAAGCTCCATGATTATTTACATCTGTGTTAAACAACAGTTAGCGTCGTTACAAACCTTAATTTAGAATAATATGATTTTCTTCAGGCCGTTAACATATAAATTCACCATGGCCGAGGGGTTTGCGCGCTCGCTTTTTAGGAAGCGAGAGGTCTGGAGTTCAAATCCAAGTAAAGGCAACTCATTTTTTTTTCAAACTGTTTAAGTCAAATAAACATTGGATTGAATATCAGTGTTGCAAGTAGTCTTATAGCCAATTTACTTAAATTAAAACGCTGGAAAGCATTGGTGGCACTATACAAAAACAAATTGGTTTATAATCTCACAACCTTCCCCTTTCTTACATTCTGAGACCCAAACAAATTCAGCGCCTTCTGTGCTTTGATTATACATTTTTGAGCGTTTGTAGTATAATAAATATATAATAGTAACAACATGGAATAATACTTAAAGACATACCATAATATGCGATACAATGACCGAAGCTATGACACACAACAACATATAACAATTTTATAAAACAATGTTTTGTTTATCAAACCATAGCACATGGCATAAAAACTTTTTTATAGCTCAATTCGATGATTAGAAATCAAGTCATTTAAAATGAGCATGATTTCTAGAATTTGAAATGCTTTTTATATTATTTATCAAATTCCAGTCGCGCATAAAATATTTACTGTATATAAAGTCAGAATATAAAGTCAGAATATACTGTAAAGTAAGGAATATAGTAGAAGATTGAAGTTACCTGGGAAACTTATCTGACCATCACCATCAGTGTCTGCCTCTTTCATCATATCCTCTATATCATCATCACTTAACTTCTCCCCCATGTTGATCAGAGTATGCTTCAACTCAGCTGAAATCAAATGTAGAAACATTGATGAAATTCCAGTAACACCGACACGGGTTGGGTGGGGGTTAGGATAATATGGTGACATTCCAGCTATTACGTTGGTCTAAAGATCGTAAGATTTGGTGTGACTGGGGATATCAATTTAACGAGTTGTGCTTGTTTATATAAATACTCGACCAGTATTAAATTTCTAGTAAACACATATAAACATTGAGTAAAAATATAGGATATAATTGTAGAGATATTAGCTAAAATATGAATATTAAAATCAACAGTAGCGCAACCCCCTGATATTCTCCAGCTACATTTTACCATGGGAAAAGACACATAGCAAGGCACCGAAAGAACTTATTTGATATTGCTTTCATTGACATTAAAAGTAGTGTAATACTAACCCTAGAAAAGCTGTTGACACTATGGATAAATACCTTGACTAATAAAACCGTTTCCATCACCATCAAACACTCTAAAAGCAGCTTTCATTTCATTAAGGAGTTCTTCATCTTCTTCTTTTTCTTCATTCATTTCATTTTCTGTCCCTCCTGTATTGAATTTGTTCGCCATTAATGTGAGAAACTGAGCGAAGCTTACATCACCATTACCTGAATTATCACAAACAAATGTCTGATAGAGAATAGTGCAAGCATTGAACATGACAATGATGACGGGACTTCACTTCTTTCCAATTAAATGATAAAGGTAAAATGGAGATCTTGCATACTTTCACTTTGAAGGTCAATATAAAGGGTATGGCGGCGTGACCGAGTGGTTAACGAGTCGGACTAGTAATCTAAAGATTGCTGACCGCATGGGTTCAAATCCTGTCAGGGGTAAGCCGTTGTTTCCTTGAGCAAAAAATTTTACATTCATTGCTTAGAACTAATTGGTTCCTGGAACGGATTCGTGAGTGTTTCAATAAGCTTACAGCTTCCAACACAATCGAACTAAAATAAATTTGTATAAACTAGTATAAAGGGTATTTATGAAAAGAAATGGACGCTATGTTATAGTCTGATTTTATTGACCTGTCAATTATGAATACATTATAGCACTCATTTAAATATTCGATCCCACTTCGGTTTTGTTCGTTTATTTTACGAGAATTAATATGGAGTGATATCAATTACGTTTGGAAACTCCCACTAGCTAAATGTAGGTTGTCGTAACATCCGCGATAGCATAGTCGGTTAAGTGATTAAATAACGCATAAGAGGCCCCAGGTTCGATCCGTTCTTTTGACATTCTTTTTAGCCATGAATTGTCATGTTTTGTATTGTATTTTACGGCTTCGGATGAGTTTTCAATATTATTTGTAAAACAATGTTACATACAAAAGTATAGTATGTACAAAAAAAGTGCAAAACACAATTATTAAAAATAGAAAGAACAAATGTTGAAAAATAGCACAGATATATTTAGCTCCATGAAAATAGTTATGAATAAAAAAAAATATGGACAAACTCTGCCTCGATCTTACAACACGCTGGACATTTAGATAATATATACCAGTGGTTTACCCTATTGCACTATAACGGTCAGAGTAAATAATTCATGGAAACAAGATGAATTTAATCATATCTTACTGCGTACCTTTCACGGAATTTACCGAACATTTATCGGATATTAATATATTCTGTGCCTTGACCGTATAATCAGTATGGAATTGACAGGTTAATAAAATCAAACAATAATGTACCAAATGTTATATAGTTTAAGTTACTAACAGAAAACATCTAGATGTGCATACACCGACTCCATATCATTTTCTGAAGGATCATAACCAAGTTTACGAAGCATTTTCTCCAGATACCGGTACTCGACGATATTGTTTCCTGTTTTATACTCATCAAATACTCGACGATAATCTGTAAATCAAACTAAACATTTATTGACACAGAAACATGATATATTAATCTTATCTATTCTGAATCTATATAACAAATTGCATTTCGGAACATTCTTGTTAGTATACGTTACACATTATTCTTACGCATTTCATATTACAAAAGATAAAAGTATATTGTCCAAGAAGAGATTTTTCATCTTTATATATAAAAAATTCTCTGATGAAGTATCACAATGATTCAAATACTTAATGAATTTCTTTCTTTTCTGTTCTTTTTTTTTATAATTGATAACTTCCCCACCAACAAGCTAACAAGTGTTGTTATTTAAATAAACATAAGTTTTAAACATATATGCACTTATTCCAGCTCGATTGTAAACAAGATTTTGGATGTTTAAATAATTATTTGAGTCCGCTTCCGGGAACTGACCAGTACTGGTGTTGTGTGAGGAGACATGGTCGTGACCAGTGTAAGGCTCGAATCACGATCCTTGGATTGAGAGGCGAAAACTTTAACTACTACGCCAACGCTTGGTAAACAGAAGCACCATAACTTTCTATAAATACTCACAATGTAACCTCTGAGGTTTATTACCATGATAATAGATTCTGTTAATTTCGTTATGTAAAAAAAAATTACCCATATGATGCACTTTATAGTTATAGAAAACTTATGTTTTTTTCCTATGTTATGTAGAAATAAGCGTCTGGTCAAATTATTCATCGAACACAGTGTGTAAAACTCTTAACACACTTTGAAGGTTTCTATTGGGAAATTTGAAGCATTTTTACAAAGGCAAAGAAGGAAAATTTAAACAAGACAGCAGAGAATTACCTTAGATTTTGCATGATTAAAGATAATTATAATTGAAACAAATTGATAAAAAATAAAGGTAATCAGCCTACTTTTTGAGATTCCTGCCCCTGAAAGTGAGTTTTATTTTGTTTATTATTATCATCATCATCATTATAATTATTATTTCATTGATTTATTTATTCATTTGCCCTTATATATTCATTTGCCCTTATATATTCATACTTTATTTTTGTCTCATTCGTATACATACATTTTTATACATATTTACACATATTCACATAAATTCTGTAAACGACCATTCTATTTAAGAATTTTAAGAGACATTATATCAATGATAAACATATTCAAGACCTATACAGTTAGTCTCAGACTAAAATCAAGTAGTAAAATTACAATGTATTTAAACAAAATATTAAAAGTAAGGTAACCATCGCTAATCGAAAAATAAAAACTGCTAAGAAATTGAGAATTGTAAATCGGAGCCCTATCGCGCCTATAAAAACGTTTTAAAAGATCGATTATCATCCAAGATAAGATCTTGCATGACCTGATTAGCAAGGATTACCTTAACCTAGGTAAAATACATTATCATGTTTAAAGCAAATATAATGGCATTATTTACAAGAGAATAAAAGAGAGAGAATAAAAGACGACGTTGTAGAATGTTAAAACAGGTTTTGGCACAATAACGTATCATTTCAGTTTTAGTGAACAGAAATATTAATTGTTCATTTTTAGACATTTGTAAAAATGCACTATCTACTGTTTTAGCCTTATCAAATAATGATTGTCGCAAGTCATCGAACACAAAGCAATCAAGAATGACATGGCTTTCGTCTTATATGTCCCTATCAAAATATGATAACTCAAAATCAAACATACCACTACTTTATCTTCTTTTATTACATAACGCAAAGTTTAAAACAATACTATTTGAAATAAATTGTTATCATTTTTATCATAAGGATAAACATTTTAAAGTATTTTGCATTTTGATAATAATGTCCAGTATTTAAACAAGTATGCCTGATATCATCACATTTAAACTTTGTTTATGTTTCAGCATTATTTTCATTGTTTTATTCAGCTCATTGAAAATAAACATTTACATGTTTCGTTATTATATTGATCAACTATGTTCATATAATTATTTACACAGAAACATTTCATGCCATATGTTGCATGTTTCAAGGCTATCTATTAATACATGTTATATTCAAACATATATCCGCCTGTCACATATTGCCTGGAGGAAGTTTTTATCTACTTTGAATTCATGTCTTGTTACATTACTCATATTTACTTTTCCAGTATAGAATGAGATGTATTAGTGCAGTTTAATTAGTGCAGATTAATGTATTCGAGTTGATATATTATGTTTTTTAATGTTCGGATTATATGTCACCGCCTCTTTGATATTCTAACCCAAATCATACCTGGTTTAAGATATGCTACTAATTATTTTGACCATCAAAATACAGACATAACAATAGAGATACTATATTCTTACAATATTCAGATTTAGAACAGTAACATCAAACAGACATCAAAATGTTAACATACCAGCTGTATTATAAGTATATACACCAACCTTTAACTTTCGCGTCCGACAACCTGTCAACCTAAAATACAACAACATATCATTTCCTTTATGTTTTCCTTGTTTTGTTAGTGTTAAGCATCAGTCAAAGATTGTAAAAAGCAGAATTAAATGCATACATGTAACATATTATATTAACTGTGCTAGAGACATTAACACCATGCATAACAGCGCACATTGTCATTGTAATTAAACATATGTGAATTCTGATTTATAGTACAAACTGTTTATGATGTGTTTGTTCTATTTAATAGAATTAAAATATAGAAATAGCTAACTTACCATTGTGACACTGTATCAGTATCCAAATGTCAGATATAAACAAACATGTATTAAGGTTAACCTACTATTTCACTAGGAGTTATAGTGACCTACAAGTAACGATAAAACATTGACGTGGTGTCACTTTCCTCTATCTCAAGACTTTTAACGTCACGCACTGTGGTTTTCTGTAGCAATATGGCGTGCTCTGCTCATTAACAACATGTCGCGTTCGATATATTTTCTACCGCATTAATATAAATTAAATTATTTTTGCAAGATTTTAATCTGTTTCTTTCACGTAATTAACTTTTTCAACCAAGTATAATTATCTTTTTTATCCTTATTTCAGTAGCGCGTGTATCGTGAAATTTACTTAAACATGAAATTAATCATCCAATGTTCCTATGAACTAAGTAGTAATATAATGTAGTTTACAGAGAAAACGATGATAACATCTGAAAACAAGGTTTCCGCAAAAACGATGTAGTGTTGGGAGAAACTGTAGCGAGTAATGTTGTTGATAATAAGTAATGTTTACCTAACATAACATATACTGCAGTTATAAATAACTGGCGGTACACTCTACTCTTGGAATTTATATTGTTTCGGAACTAAAATGAACATATTTTATCATATGATGAGACTTGAACAGAAAAAGTCCGTCTATGACAAAGTGATGTCAGGCCTTTTCTTTCATGCAAACAGTACGTAACAATTGCTGAAACTTTTTGCGATTATTTCTCCAAAAGTGTTATACTCAGCAGTAAAAAAAACCAAACACATCTACACCAGCTGACGACGTGAAACATCGCAAAAAAATATGAACGGGAGATAAAACTTACGAAATTAAAACTCACAAAATTAAGTTGCCTCCCTTTAAACCATTTGAAAAACTGTTGATACACCACACATTATGACATTTGTGCGCAGACAGTTTTGTGATAATTTAGTCAAAGACTGACTTTTGCATTTTTATAAGTTTAAACAATAATATTATGTTCAAATATGATGTTTGAAACCATTGAAAGTTGCTATATACAGTCTCCGTTAAACAAACATCTTTGGAGCAAACACAGAGGGAAAATGTCACCTTTTAAACTCTATATACTATAGGTTAATAACTATAGGTTAACAAAAAAGTGTATGCAGATACCATAACATAGTTTATGCATCCTCTTATTTATATATGACATATTCAATTAGAACTTCTTGAATTTTTGTAAGAATTACATGAATGAGAGAATGCTTAATGTTTGACTTACGTGGATTATTGTTATAATTTTTTATTTTTATGATTTTGCTGCAATTTTGAAAATAAAATTGAAAGATCAGGGTAGTAAATTAGAATTTATTCACTACATCCCAAATTTAACGTGTTGTACTGACTAAAAAGCTCCTTCACCTCTAGAGGTCTACCTGCTTAAAACGAATTATTCCAGGGACTAATTTTAGAATTTTTTTCCTATTTTTCAAAAACCAGTTACATCTATTTGATGACATGATACATACATAATTTTAAATAATAAGTCCACGAAGTTACTTAACGTTTGCTCTAAGAATAACATAGATGTCGCCCGGTGACTTGTTTGAAATCCTATAAAGCAACACATGTCGTGTTTCTCATTAAGTAAATCCAAAGATTTTGTGCAGCTTGTAAGACACAAACATAAAACAACGCAATTTTTGTGTTGTTAATGGGCTTTTATTTTAAGTCAGTAAATAGATAAGATTTTACATGGAGAAATTTTGTATGAAAATCCTAAAAAGCAGCATATGTATTATACAGCATACTCATATTCATATTGGTAAATACCGTGTTATATTGTTACAAGGCTTCTGCACCAAAATACTCTGTGTGTTGTGTGTGCGTGCGTGCATGTGAGTGTTTTCAAGTTTTGTTGTTCGGGGGAGGGCGAATTCATTTTATTATTTATTTTCTCCGCAAATTACAATTTTAAATAATTTCCATCTACTGAAACGTCAAAGATCTATATACAAATGAACAGGCAGTAGTCGATGCATTCCGAACCCTGACTGCATAGTCATAGCTTAGCTTTACATTATACTGGTTTTCAATCATGTTTGATAATTATATTATATTGAAAATATAACCCGATAAAAAGACAAATTGTTCTTCAGTTACATACAGCGAATATTACGTGCAATTCGTGCAATTCGCATTTGTAGGAATAACATTGCCCTCATTTACATTTCAATAGCATGTCGCTATACATTGTATTTCTTTTCCTTCGAATGCGAGATGTTCTTTAACTTAGAATTTAATGTTTAAACTATTAAGAAAAATCACTTTAAAATACCTAGATTACTAGCCTGAGATTCAGGCGTTGATAGTTTTTGCTTATTTATAACATTTTTTCTTTATTCATAACATATGCGCTATTCCGTATTCGTTCGATTTCGTCGTTTTGATAGTGTCGATTTGCCAAACAGAAACATAAAAAAAATCGACAGACTGGAACCCAGGCTACTAGATTACATCAAAAGTAAGAAACGAAGAAGTGTCATAAAATGAATCCATTGTAATCGGTAGATGAACAATTTGTTTCAAGTATGGTAAATAAATACATCAGGGAAACATAGTTTTCTTCGTACATGAACTTGACGTTTATTTTGATAAAGTAACACTCCATATAATAATCACGTCTGCTCAACAGCACACCCTTTAGCACCATCTTAGGTGATCGATTTTCGCTGCTACTATTATGCGCTATATCTTGCAAATTTAATGTAAGTGTATTTTTTATGAATACATTGTTGCACTTCCGTTTAGATTATATTATAAGTTATAAAGATTTTTACAAGTTGTATTATGGCCCTATTTAAACGGTTGTTTGCATATATAATTCGAGCCGCTATTTTTATTTTAGTAAAAAGAAATTACTAATAAATGATAGTATGTCATCTACGTTATTTAAGTTCACATTTGCAAGCAATACCGTATTTGTGCATGTATAACAAGCACGCATTGGCACATGCAGACTATATAACCATGAAACAGATGATAATTATAGTTCAGTTAAAGCTATATCATAACCTCAAACTGAAAATTCTCTTTTCAGGGCCTCGTAAGCTTAAGTTTAGATTGTATGCCGCATTTAACATATTTTCAGCAAATACCGCAGTATCTTGTATCCGAGAAAGAATTTCTCCTTGGTAAATAAAGTTAAGTAATTGACAATGTTTTCTATGAGTAGTGTTTCTATGAAAATTTCCTTCTTGTAGTTTAACAGTACAATCAATATCACCATCAGTCACTTTTGTTCCAAGAAATTTCGAGATTTTATTTAACTCTGATGACATATTATGTTTGAGCATCTCATACTGGAGAACATATACTGGTCCTTCAAACTGTTCACATATCATTATAACAAGATCCAAGTACCATTCCAACAACGTCTCAAACGTTCTTTCAATCACTGAAATTAAGATTAAAGCATGGTATTATTTACAACTGGACATATTATCAACCTGGAATAAATGTTACTTCCCCTTTTCTTTTACTATACTCTGTATGTGTTATATTTCCCTACAGCAGCTTATATTCCATGAAGTAAGAAGATCTTAGTAAACTGTTGTTTTTTTTCTTCACCCAACATTTATAAATAAAACCATTCATTTATGTATTGACTGTAATTATGTCTGGAAAGTGAAGACCAATCCTGAGCAATGGCAACAAAAGAAAATCGGTTTTGTTGAGTATACACGTAAATATAGAATAATTATATTTCAAAAGCTCCGTGAAAATGGGTAAGGCAAATAATCGGGAATATCCCCAAGAGCAATTAATGAACATAACGTGTAAAAGTGAAAAGTGTAGACCTAGTTTGATTCAGAGATAATAGAAAGTGCAACGTCTTCCCCTCCCACACCCCCAGCACCGACTTCAGCAGTATTTAATCTCCGGCCCAGAGACAATACTGAAGTGAAGTGCACGTCAACTTCTTTTACCAACATTATGTATTTGCACAATTGTTGCACAGTTAACTTCGAGAAACAACTAATTAAATATACATTTACATACATTCTCTAAGTCTGTACGCAGATGGATTTTGCGTATGTCCCGACATTTTGAATTTTGCTAAAGAAAGTAATGCGTCATATGGATTCCTGATAAGAAACACGATCTTCTTAAAGAACGGAATAGACTTTCTATGATGTGTTTTGACGAGAATTGTCTGGCGCATTCTCTCATGATAACATTCAAATGGAAACCCTGACTCTTCCAACTTCCGGTCGCAATATACGCTCGAGGTTCCAATGCCTGTGTTATACAAAAAGAAATCATACAATTATGCATTCATTTTGCCTCTATATTATTTGTTATGTTGAATTGTTTTACGCTGATTTTAACACATATTTGGTGATATCTCGACGACCAATTAATCTAACCGGCTTTAATAGCTAGAGATAGATAGATGCTTTATTAACTAAAACTTTTACAAGTTTTTCGTTATAACAATCACATGACAATGGCATACATAGAAACATTGAATTAGTGCATAACATAGTGGGAGAGAGTAATCACGCACACGCACACGCACACACACACACACACACACACACACAAACACACACGCACGCAGGCGCGCAAACGCACACACGCGCGCGCACACACACACGCACTCGACAATATTCTATTAAAACACATCGGCGATTGAGACATTAAGATATTATTGTTAAACTCGGAGGAAAATATGGTACAAAATAATCTGTTAAGAATGTAACATATTGCTAATATATACGTGCTGTAAACGATCTTATATGCAAAATGGGCATTATGTCTTATCACGTTCTTATAACGGAGATAAATTCTTTTTATCTAAAGAAAGTAGCTATATCCTATTATTAGAAAACACTTTTCCTTTTTTAAACTATACACTATATAATCTGAATGTTTCTGTTTTGTTTTTCATTACCAGCTTAATGAAATTAATATATTTACATGATTTCATATCATCAAAGAAAATTATTTGTTTATGTAACAAACATATGACAGATATTATAATATTTAGAATAAATCAATAAATAAATTAATAAATAAATAAACTTAAAAATAGGCTTTCTGTTGTGACCAGCAATGCAAGATTTACAATTATAATTCAAACACTTTCCTGCATCCCAAAACATTTACAGTCTAAATGTATGTTTATTGGTTACCTGTCATTTGTTGTATAAGATGTCGTGTCCATGTATTTCCTGATCCTGGAAAACTGACCAATCCTGTCAATGGAAGTTTCTTATCTGACAAACTAACGTTTCTATAGCTACAATTTGAATGAGTTTCTCGTTCTTTAGTGCGATTTTCAAACCATGGCTGGTAAGTAGAGTAAGTTTTTGCAGCATCGCTGGTGTCACCATTTATCCTCGTATTTGAGTAAAGTTGAGTCGAGTCGTACATTTTGGTATTAGCTGAATTTATATTTGTCAGAATAAACAGAAAAAGTCCAGACATAATAAATACAAATACACAGTGAAATACTTTTACTAGAAGTAACCGCCTCATGTCTATACACTTAATTTTCCCTCTTCTTTAATGTATCATTTTCAAACAACGGAATATTCAATAAATATCATGAATTATTTGCTGTTAAGAGAGCATCATTAACTGCATTTATATCGCCCGTGTTCGTGAAATACACATCTGTTATACTCAGTCAAAACAAAAATAATTCTTTGAAATATGTTCTCAATGTAAATGAATAAACGAATTAACCAATCATTAACAATATCTCGCGTGTTAAGTCATATATATAAATAATCATTATTAACATAATTGAGCCACGTCATAACAAAACCAACATAATGGGTTTGCGACCAGCATGGATCTATACCAGTCTGCGCATCCGTATCCATGCTGTTCGCTTACAAACCCTATAACAAGTAGAGAAACTGATAGCGAACAGCATGGATCCTGATCAGAAGCGCGAATGCGCAGGCTGGTCTGGATCCATGCTGGTCGCAAACGCATTATGCTGGTTTTGTCATGGCACGGCTCATTTATTGTCGCTAATCGGATGAACAGCATATTCTCAAACTTTCCACAACTGAAAATAGGTCTATTATTGTATATGAAGAATACATGGTACTTAGTATCACAACAATTTACTATGGCTTCCAAAAAGCTTTATTATAGTTGATGATTAAATAAAGTGTAACATGTATATATAAAGTACCGCTGCAGTTATTTTGTCTAGATATGATGCGACATTTTCACCTTCAAAGACGTGTATGCTGTGCTGTGAATGGTCAGACAATAAGGTGTTTAACTCTTTATGGGGTCCTATGATTAATAAGCTTGTTATTTGACTTTGGATGGTCGACTTATGATTGTAAAACTTTGTGCTTGCCGCGGTCGGTTGCCAAGTTTGCTACGCTCCGGAAAAGGTTAGTTGTCCGTTTCGGGGTAATGCATGTTACAGCAACTGCCCTATACCAAAGGCGACCCTACTTTTTTACATGCCCGGTGTAATACACCGATATATGGGACCTCATCTAAAAGACCATTAGTATTGTCAAGAAGCAGGGCCAGTAAATTACTTAACTAAACTGTAAGGAGGTATGGTATGGATTTATATTTGAATGGGTAATTGACAGGCATACTAAATGGTCATCAACATATGTTACCATTTTAAATAACACGTTCAATGGTTAGCAAACACGGTAATAAACACGTGTCGGCTCTATCGGTAGTATTGTAATTGTTGAAGATCAGGTGACAGGTTCAGCAGCTGAATACTCTATGTTTTATGTAAAAACAATTCACAAAAATATATTTATGGGCTATAACTAATGAAAAATAATGCATAGAAAACAAGATCAGGGATTATTTCCTATATGGGTAATATTGCAAATAGAAAACATCGACAGTATGGCTGAGGCTATGAATTTAAGGACATCTGCTGGCAACATTAAACAACATTTACCATACTTTTTTTTTACTTTAAGTCCTTTTCTGAATTAGAAGGGCTCATTTTCAGAAATAAGAAACAGATGTTACATATGGTACCTGACAATTACATATAGTACCTGTGAGCTAACCTCTAAAACAACATTTCTGTTATCTCGTCACTAGTGTCCTGTTTCGGTCAAATGAGAATACCCTGTATTTTATGTACTACGTACAGTCCCTCATTCTTTTTACATTTTCAAATAAAAAAATAGGGATATCTATCACTTTAATTCTGCCTAGTGAAGCTAAAATTGTTTTCAATCATATTTACGATTACGTATAATAATTATCATGAAAGATTCGTCTAACACATCGAGATGGTATTATTGTTAGTGAGCTCTGAAAGACAAATCATCATTGTTTCCGCTTACAATACGTACTCAATTATTGTCACTATTTTATAATGATACTAACTATAAAAAAATTTTTCAACATCAACCAGCCAACGTTTGTTGTTAATTTTAATATAAATCATTGGATTTCTGTTTCAAATAGTTTATATTCCAGGCCTCTCAGATCAATATCTAAATCGTAAGCTTTCTTTATTTCGTCTTCCACAAACTTTGCTTTTTCCTGTATCTTTAATAATATGCTGTTTTGATAAAGGAGTTTTAACAATTTAATATGCTCCTGGTCAGATGTATTGCGATGAAAATTTCCTTCCTGAAGTTTGACAGTACAGCGTAAGTCGTTGTAAGTCTGGTTTGTTTTCAGGAACTTTGAAAGTTTAGTCAACTCATCCAACATGTTTGATTTGAGATTCTCATATTGAAGAACATACACTGGTCCCTTGAAATGTTTAGTTATCTCTGTCACTATTGCTGCATACCGTTCTAATAACTGTGCTGAATTGTTATCAATTTCTGAAAAAGAAGGGTGCACTTAAATAAATCCGATATTTTACTAGCTAATGATTTGTTGGAGATGAACAATTGTCAAAAATATATGTTGTATATTATTCTATTAATGAAAACGTTTCATACACAAGTCAATTTATTCTCAAAATTTTCAAAAATAATAATTAACATTGACAGATTGTTTAAGGTATAAAATCATATAGTTTCTTATTTCCAATACTTATTACTTGTCTTGATACTACAGTCATAAAAACGAAAAATAGTATTTTGGATAGAAACCAAAAATATTAATGATATACCAGCGAGAATTTCCGAAACCTGTTTGCCTCTCTCTGGATACTAAGTTTTTTTAATTCCCAATTACATTTGGCGTTACGTTACGTCCATGCAGTTACATAAGGATCTTACACAAAATGCCGGTACCGACTGGAATACTTAGCTCAAGGATAACTGTTTACGGCGAAAACATGGCTCTGTGTCGACAGACAGTGTCTGATTCTGTCTGATATGCAAAATGAACACAATCATTGATCCGTTAATGACCGAAAGAGATACTGATTAATTGTAATGTTACTAGACAAAAATGCATTAAAATAACAATCCGTAAATTGTCGCAAGAGATACTGATTAATTGTTACGTTAAAAGACAAAAAATGCATTAAAACAACAATCCGTTAATGGTCGCAAGAGATACTGACTAATTGTAATGTAACTAGACAAAAATGCAATAAAATAACAATCCGCAAATGGTCGCAAAAGATACTGATTAATTGATACGTTACTAGACAAAAACTGCGTTTAAAATCACAATTCTGCACTTTACTTCCAATCTTCCGCTATTTACATGAAACGAATTTCTGATTTTTTTTTCAAATTTCAATACTATGGTCAATACGGGTATATTTCATAAAGTTTTATGCGACATGTGCCTCTGTTTTGCTCTTGTTCCAAATCCTGAGAATATACACTTGTATGTGTTTTTACAGGCGATAATATACATAGTCAATCGCTAAATGAATTTATTACGTAAACATATAAATACGACTCTTTTTATGAATGAATATGCCTTACTTCCTAAATCAAGCTCAATATAAAGAGTAACAAGAATCAAAACAAACCTGTTTTCAGTCTTTCTATAGATGGATGTTTAACATGCCCTGATAACCGAAACTTTGAATAAGACAACAGTGCATCATACGGATTTCTGATCAACAAAATAATTTTTGTGAACCGTGAAATATCCTTTGGTCTGTGCGACTTTATGACAATGGTTCTGTTAAAAAGTTCGTGAGAGCATTCGAACGGAAAGCCGGCTTTCTTCAATTTTTTGTCACAATATACACTTGAAGTACCAATACCTGTAATATAACAAGTATATAGCATCAAAATGCAAATATTATTATTCTATTAGTTCTAACTATTCAAAGGTAAGTGTATATCGGTAAGGTAAAATTACATCTGCCACTATATAAAGTTACATGTATATAGGTAAGTAAAGGCACGTCTCAGATTATATAAAGGTAGTTTCACCTCTCACTTTATTTGTATATTGATTTGAAATTCAGTTTACTTTTTCGTATCATGTTAGGGACCATTTAAGAAACATTTTATAATAAGTGGATTATATACATTTACTTTTCGGCAAGAATATTTTCATCAAAGTCATGAAAGTTGTGCTTATAGTAATAGCTATCACGTGTTGCGTTTAGAATCGGATTATCTGTCCCGAGGGTACCCGTCCAGTGGGTGACGAGGTGGGTAACCGAGGGGCAGATATTCCAATCTGAACAACAAAATCATGTCAGGTGTTTTTCCTTGCATACTCTACCATATTTTAAATGGTTTACATCATTAAATTATTTTTTAATGGAAACTCCTGTAGTTTCATCCGCTACTATTTTTTTCCAGTAGCATATCAATTAGCAATTTCAGTAACTGCGATCTGACGTGATCTTGAGAACGCAGTTTCACCCTGTTCTGCGACAAAATGACACCATTTGGAGCACGTGACTCTTCTGGGGACCACCACGCCAGATAAAATTGCCAGCATGGGTAAAAAAACTGATATGCAATAAATGACTATCAACTTTGCTTGTAGATTCCGAGAGATATGTGAAATGTGGAGAATTATTTAAACCAAAGGAGTTACAAGAAGATCTCAAGTCCGGAACCATCTACAAAAAAACTTGATGACGACATGGATAACGTAGCAGAAATGGACTGAGATCATTTCTGAAACTTTTTTTTTATTTCTCTTTATTGTACAATGCAAACAATAAAATTCATGAAATAATACAATAATACAATACCATGAAATTTGATGTAATAACAATGTTCTGAAATGATACACACAAATTCATACAATTGCAAAGTACTATATGTATTTTCTTATTATATTTTTTAAAAAAGGCAAAGTTTACTCTGCACAAACGTTCAATTATTAAAGATTTAAGTTACAACAACAATAAGTGTCACAATTTTCTTACAGCTAATAATGTTAGGTACTTTCATTTTCATTGATTAATTTTATGTATTCTTTCCATACATCCTGCATTGTTTCAAACCTAAGCATTTTTTTGGCATTAATTATTTCTGTTTTAACCAAAAATAGTAATTGATTTTTTAAAGCCTCTAAGCATGGCAATACGGACTTCATTTTACATTTGTAAATATAATGTTTTAATAATAATAATATATCATTCTCTGGAACTGTGAATCGGGAACAGCCGAAAATGACAGATTGTTCTGAAAAATGAAAAGATGAAATTGGAATTTTGTTTGTTAACCAGCCCTGCACGTCCCTTATAAACATGTTGACTATGTCACATTCCCAAAATAAATGTTTTATGGTTTCTGGATTGACATTACAAAATGTACAGTTGTCGTTGACCCAAACATTAATCTTTTTCAGTAATACATTAGTGCGTTATTCTATATTGAAGCCATAAAAGTTTTGGATCCTTAGTCACTTTAAAGGGTAGAAAGTAGATACTTTTCCAGTTAAGATAAATATTAGAAAAATCATTTTGCCCTTTTATTTCTGATTTTGTCTGACGATTATTATTGACCAGCACGTCGTATATTGCGCGACATCCTTTGCGACTTTTGTTAAGTATTTGGATGGCAAATGGCAATATCGGGTTTTTTACTTCGATATCATTTTGATTTACATGAAAATCCGTCAAAGTTTTTCTGAAGGAACGTATTATGCCTTCATATTCAAGAAAGTTTGAGCTAACATAAAATAATCTTTGAAATTCTTGAAAACTATAAAACAACCCATTTTCATTTACAAAATCGTTGACAAACGAAACACCTTTTCTTAAGTAGTGTTTAAATTCAAACGATTTTCCTGCAATTTTGAAATTAGGATTTAACCATACCGGATTTGACAAGAAATCTGCCCAATTACCTGAACAAATCTTACATTGAAATAAATAAAATGAATTCAAAACATCCTTCCAAAACAAATTGTTTACTTTACTTTTATGTTGTAACAAATAGTCACTACCATATTTGGTCGACTGGTAAAGAGCTGGACCCAATTCTTGTACAAGAAAAGGATATTTAGTGTTTGAAGATAAAAGTCTTCTTATCCAAGTGATTTTCAAAGCACGGATGAAATGTATTAAGTTAACCGCTCTAAGCCCACCATTACATACATGTATATCTTGAGTGAGTTTTATTCTACTTATCTTATCCGGTCCATCATTCCAAAAAATTTGAAAAATACATTTTGTAGGTCTTTAATTACATCAGATTTAGGGTTTGGTAAAGTTAAAAACAGGTTAGTTAATTTAGACAAAGCAAGCGTCTTAATCACTGTGATCTTTCCTATAGGAGAAAGTAGTCTTCTGGACCATACTTTTAAAAGAGTCTTAACTTCATTTATCTTGGAAGGATAGTTAAGATCACTTATAGATGTAATATTTGTTGATAAAGTTACTCCCAATAATTTCAATGGACCTTTGTCCCATTTAACACCGATTTCCGGACATAACTCTAAATCGCTATTTCTCATTGCACCTATTCATAACGCCCTAGTTTTGTCAACATTTATTTTTAAACCAGAGATATCTGCATAAAATTTTAAAACTTTCATAGTATGCACGAGGGCTTTTTCAGAACCGTCTAATATCAATGCGGTGTCATTTGCGTATTGTGACATCAAATACTCTATACCCTTAATTTTGATACCTTTGATATTACTATTTTTTTATAAGTAAAGCAAGAATCTCCGCGCACAGGACAAAAATATACGGTGACAGGGGTTCCCCTTAACTACAACCTCGAAATAAGGGGAACCAGTCGGAGAGGTGGCCATTAACAACAACAGATGATTGTATATTTGTATAAAATAGTTTTACCCATGAAACAATAGAGTCACCAAAGTTGAAAAATTTCAGAACCGAAATCATAAAGTCCCAAGACACGGAATCAAATGCCGCAGCGAAGTCGACTAGTAATAACATTCCGGGAATATTATTTTGTTCAGTATAAAACATTAAGTCATAAATTAAACAAATATTATCTCCTATAGATCTCCCCGGGATAAATCCACTTTGGTCTTCACTTATCAATTTGTCTAATACAGATTTAATTCTATTGGCAATACACGCGGGTGCAATTTTATATGTATTATTAAGTAGGGAAATCGGACGCCAATTTTTTAAGAAACGTTTATCTTTGTCACCTTTCGGGATACATTTGATAACACCTAATTTATCGGATTGCGAGAGTTCTCCTGTGGTATATGAGTAATTAATTGAACGCAAAACAAAATCTCCTATATCAATCCAAAAGAATTTAAAAAACACCGAAGTAAAACCATTTATCATTTGCCATTCGTTTTAAACTTGCCAAAGCCTCTTCTCGAGAAATAAAACCCTCTAAACTATTTTTTGTCGTCTCGGAAAGTTTTGTTACATTTATATCAAGAAACAGGTTATCTTAATTAACTGTGTTAGTAATCTTTGCAGAGTAGAAGGACTTATAATGGCTCATGGTTTCCATTAAAATAGCTTTTTGATTATTTATAATTTCACCCGTCTTGTTAAAAAGGGTTGCCATATTTTTTAAACGAAATGCTTATTTTCTAGGTTACAAAAGTATCTGGTCGGTTTTTCTCCCTCTAATACCCATTTTGCTCGCGATCTTATAAAGGATCCCTCTAACCTTTTTTTCCTTATATCTTGCAGTTCTTGTTGCTTATTTAACAAGGCATTTTCATTTTCTGTATTAGTGTATTGTTGTAAAATTTCAATGTCTTTAATAAGTGTTTTCTCATTGATATTGTCCTGTCGTTTTATAAAAGTGGCATAAGAGATTGTGTGACCGCGAATTTGCATTAACAATGTCTCTAAGAATAACTTATCATCAATAGATAGCGAAATATTTTGATTAGTAACATTTCTGAAACTTAGTTAATAACAAGTGCAAGAGTTCTAATACATCTCCAGGTTGTAAAATGGTTTTCAATGATGATACATACCGTGACGAGCAGAGTATCTGTCAGCAATTGCATTTATATTTCGAAAACTTGTATTCACCATCAAATTATGTTAGTTATGATGACAATTGGAAAAAGAAGTTACGCATGCCTTAAATGATGCTATACAGTCAAAATCTTTAAATCGTAATGTCCATGTCACAGAAAATGAGATAGAATGTGCGATTCAATCATGTAAACGTGGAAAAGCCAGCAGAATAGACAAAATATTCTATGATATATGAGTACTTTATTCTAGGTGGATCCGTTGTTATTCATGCACTGTCACCATAATGCTAAGAAAGTCATATTTCAACAGGAATGAAGTAAAGTATTATTGTGATAATTCATAAAGGTAATAATAAACGCAAAGATGATCCGAATGATAAGGGCTATTACACTGATGCCTACCGTTCTTAAATTGTATAAGTCAGTGCTGTTAGGACGCTCGTCAAAAACAATCCTGCAAAATATCAATAGTCAACAAGGTGGTTTTCAAGATGGATTAGGCTGTATGATGACATCTTTCCTACTCAAAGAAACTTTACTATATTGTAAAGAATATCATAGTCAAGTATATGTATATTACTTGGACGCTCGTCAAACATTTGGCAGAGTGTGGCATGACGGCCTTTCGTGCAAATTTAATGATTGTAACGTAGATGACATTTTTTGTATCGTTCGTTGATATGTATAAAGACATGATAAGTGTTGTAAAGTATAAAGGATCTACGTCAGAGCCACTGAACATGTTACAAGGCACAAGATAGGGGAGTAAAAGCTCACCGTTGCTATATATTTTATTCATAAATGACTTGATAATGGAAGTAGAACGAAGTGGGTTTACAACTTTACAATACGTTCGTCGACGGCGGTAGATGACATGGCGCTAGTTTCCTTCTGTCGGAAAGGTTAACAACAAATGTTAGATATATGATACTGATACGCATCAAAATTGCGATTCGAATACAATGCTTCTACATACTGTGTTTTGAAATACTTTGCCCCCGACATTATGTGAACGAACAAACTTTCTTACTAGGGAATTCACCTATTCCATATGGTTACCAATACAAACATCTCGGAATCCTTTGTGATAATAATCTATGCATGAATCCTTCCATAGACGAAGCAGTAAGTAAATTAAGGACAACGTTTTATGGTATTCTCAATTGTGGTCTTCACCCAGATGGTTTAATACCTCCGACACTCACGACCATTTACAAACGGTTGTTTTACCCAAAAAAATTATATGGCTGCGAGCTGTGGAATTCTGTTCAGTCATCGGCAATGTTATGCTTGAGCGCACAGAGAATGTATAAAGTGCATGCGAACAATACCCCGTAATGACGCCATTTTGGAGCACGTGACTCATCTGGGGACCACCATTCTAGATAAAATTGTCAGCATGGGTTAAAAATCTGATATGCAATAAATGACTGTCAACTTTGCTTGTAGATTCTGAGAGATATGTGAAATGTGGTGAATTTATCAACCAAAGGAGCTCCAAGAAGATTATTCACACAGAGTAAATATATGTAAATTGCCCAAGACTGTGTATAATTAGTTTACAAAGAAAATCTCTTTGATAATAAGAGATTAATCTGCAACATATTGTTAATGTTACTGTAATAGGCCATATAAACGTTATAACAGATCTAATATTGAACATTGAATAATTTTATCTCGTGTGCCGTATGTTGTGGCTGGCTGTTTTTCTCTGTATTTTAGATTTGATCTCGTTTAACAGTTTGCCCATAATAAGTATTTGCATTAACCACAAGGACTTTTACTTAATTTTAAAATGAATTATGTAATTGTTGCATCTAATTTCTGATCTTCGTCTTTGTCATCATATAGATTATATATATATACTTCAACCCTTCTCCTCACACCTGGCACTTTGTCTCAATTTTGATATGACCACAAATGAAATTTGAAATTTTATTTGGGCAATGATACGAATCACATGTAGGCACCTACAACAACTGGAACAATCTCTACACCAAGAATGGCAAAATGTACCAGGAAATCTTTATCTGTTTGGTCAGATAATATAGTTCCTGTTTTTTTCTTTTTATTATAAATGCATTAATTGTGTCCCTTTTGTAAATGAATATGCCTGACATGAAATATAAAACGGTTTATCATGATTGAACCGATAACGGTTTTGATTACAGAATACCTAGCCGCTGTTGGTTTTCACCATATACGATGCATAGCATATGGACAAAAAATGACCGTATATTGATGTCACATAGGATAAGTTAGTACAAAATAGTAGTATAACTATACTTGTTATATTTTGTACATATTACGTAGGACAGATTTTTTTGCCAAACCTTTTAAAAAAACATAGATACCTAATTAAGAATATAATTACACCAAAAAACGCTACAAATATTTGCAAAGTTTCAGCAATCAAGTATCTTCTATGCTCATGATTTATGAAACATTTGCTGATCTATTGAACTCTTTGATTTAAAACGATAAGTGGAATGTTTACCTGTCATTTGCTGTATAAGATGTCGTGTCCAGGTATTTCCTGATCCTGGAAAACTGATCAACCCCGTCAATGGAAGTGCTATTTCTGATAAGGAAACTTTTCTTTCAACGCAACTTGTGTTTCCATTATAGCTAATTTGTCTGTTTTCAGCCAATGATTTAATGTCATAAAACTGTGTTGTTGTGCTCACTATTTCTTTAACTATCCTATGGTTTAACGGAACATTGATTGTCAAATCATTAGCAAAATTAAAATGCTGTAAATGCAAAAGTATAAGACAACCACACAAAATAAGTAAACAAAGAAAATAAGCTCCATATAATTGTGACATTTTGTTGAATCTTTGTACGCTATATAAACATGGATCTCTTTTTTCTCCAATTACAAAATCTCGCTATCTGAACGATCGAATAGTATTGTGTTAATCAACAGCTTGTAACATACAAATAAGAATGCCGGCACTAATTTGAATAATATTGTTAGACTAACGGCAGTTACATAAACAGATATAACAAAACAGAACTTTGTGAAAGCCCTGTATTTTTCTTTGCAACTAATGGTTTATGAATATTAATATGGGGCTTTTGAGTTCTGACTTTTGTTTAATAAACTTAAATTCTTTATGTGTTACGACTTTTAACATATTACTGCCACACAGTTAGAGTGATGCATTTCATTCGTTAGAAACGTTAAATGTCGAATATGTATAGGTTGTTTTGGTAATGTTTCTTTGTAATTGCAAAAGGCAAAACCTGCTTAAATGCTCTCCTAACAGTGTTGTTAATTTTTCTGATTCTTCGTAATAATTGTTTCAAGCACACTTAGTTGTTGAAAATTAAAAATCACTTAAAGAGTTATTATCGACATTGTAGTAAATGCTTAAAATTAACGGAAATAAATGACTTTTTTCTATGCAGAAGTATTTTAAATGATAATTATTTTTTGAAAAAAAAAGGCGTTTTTTTATTACCTGAAGCATATGTAAGAGGCCATTTTTGACCCGCTTACGTCATCCGACCCGGATGTGAAAGATGTGTTCGCGAAAATTTGACTGTTGGACGCAGACGCGCGTTCAATGCCGCATTACGTCATCCGGCCTTGACGTCATGCGGCCATAAATGGCTGTCTGTAGTCTAGTTCTGGCTTCCAAAACTTTATAAACCGCTATTTAACATTTTTGTTTTTCATCTGATGATGCATTAAAGTTTTGGATTAGACCTATGGAACAGAATTAATGCATTTATTCTATCTTGCTTGATGACATTGGAACTTGCATTATGCTTAATTCTATCTTGCTACATGACATTAGAACTTGCATTTTGCTTGATTCCATTTTGCTTTATGATATTGAAACTTTGCATTATGCTGGATTCCATTTTTCATTATTTCATTCAAACATTTCGTAGTGACCAATTCTTTCATTGAGTGATAACTATTAAACTGGAACAAATCATTTGGAATACTAAAATGTTAACGTCATATACCTTTATGTATAAACTACCTTTCTTCATGCTCTATACAAACCATTTACGGTTTAGTTTTTTTTATTACTTTTATGTAGAAGTCATTTCAAATTTACTATTTTTTGTTCCCTGATGGATTTTGTTAAAATGTGACTTATTTGATTTATAGCTCGCATGGCGTGATTACTATTAGCTTTCGCTTATATCCATTATTCAGTGTTTATGCTCAACAAAGCTCGGTGTCTGAGGCTTTGTGGATTATGTTTAATCATCTTACATTATGATAAACAATTTAAACAATGTCTAGCGATTTGTGAACTGTTAAGGGGCGAGAACTCTGTTATCGATATCAACAGATTTTTTCCACGACTCGCCTATCATCGGAACTTTCCGTATAGATACTGCGTACATGTATATATAAATACGTATCACGCGCTTAATACATAAATTGCGGTATACAAGTAGTAAAGGATTATGCATTATATTTTTATATATGTATACAGTCTAATAGAAAAATATGCTCGTAAACAGCAGTTATTCAATGGGGCAGTTATACGTACAGTGGTGGATTCTGGCCATGGCTTAAGGGCTGCACCTACCCCTAAAGATACGTTCATGAGCTGGGATGGAATATATACGTGTCAGTTTCATGCAATAGTCTTCTTAGTGTACTCCCTTACCAAAACATATAATGCTGTCGTCCAGTTGTTAAACACCTGCCTAGGTACTGCGAAGGTCTTTATCTAATGACTTTGACATTAAAAAGCAAAAATTATTGGCCTTTTAACTTAATAAATGTCTCAGATTCACTAATAGTGGCGAATAGCACATAAAAATATACATGTATAATAAGTAAACAGAATGGTGAACTCTTTTACAAACATTATACGTAACGTTGCGGAGAACCGTTTATACAGGACAACAGTTTGTAAATAATAGCAAAGACGTCAGTTCTAAATGGTTCGATAACGATTGTAAAATTGCAAAAATAACATATAAAAACGTATTATACCAGTTTAATAGAACACACAGTGAGGAAAAAAGATAGAGTTATGTCGATGTAAGAAAATATATAAAAAATTGTTAAAAAGAAAATGTAGATCCTATAATTTAAAATTAACGAGAGACTTTGAAAATCTTAAAAATGTAAACCTCGTGAATTTTGGAGGTATTTCAAAAATAAGCAACCTAAAAGTGCCAATAATATCCCTGTTGATGAGTTTAAAACGTATTTTGAAAACACGTATCCCGTCGTCAATGCTAATATTCATACAGATGCTGACAATTTCAATGTCAACAATGATTTTGATAATGTTATACCTGTGTATCCGGAATTAGACGAACAAATTACTTTTACAGAAGTGCGCAATGCAATCAAACGTTTAAACAAACATAAAGCGGCTGGTGAGGACCAGTTGCTAAATGAGTACTTTATAGAAGCATGTGATATTTTGTCCGGTTACATAACTGTATTGTTTAATAAAATGTATTTATTGATGCAGTGTTTGTGTTGAACTCATTGATACAGAAGTTTATTAACAAAAATAATCGTTTGTATTGTTGTTTTATTGATATGAAACGCTGTTTTGGCTCTATTTGTAGAAATTCTCTTTGGTATAAGCTTTATAATATGGGTTTAAACGGCGAAATTCTACGCATTATTAGAAATATGTATCAATCTGTGAAGTCGTGTATACGTTCATGTGATAATATGAATTATTCTGATTTTTTCGACATCGCAATCGGATTACGTCAAGGGGAGATAATTTCCCCGATTATGTTCTCCTTGTTTATTGAAGATCTTGAGCTATACTTGCAAGATAGAGTAAACTGTGGGCTTACTTTAAATGAGTTATGTATCATATTATTACTATTCGCTGACGACATGGTTATTCTAGCAACAAATCCGTCTGATTTGCAATCGTCACTAAATAATTTCTATGAGTATTGTAATACTTGGGGACTACAGGTAAATGTAGATAAATCAAAATGTATGGTATTTAGAAAGCGGGAAGACTTGAGAAATAGGGAAAAGTGGTTCTACGGTGAAAATGCATGCATTCTTGAAAATGTTAATGATTTTAACTATTTAGGTGTTACTTTTAATTATACAGGACATTTTTCATTAAAAAACCAAAAATTGTATAGTAAAGGTCTTAAAGCAATGAGTTCACTCATAGCAAATTTAAAGAAACACGCTACGCTGCCGAAAGTAGCCTTACAACTATTTGATTCGTTTGTTAAGTCTACAATAAACTATGGATGTGAAATATGGGGTTTTGCGAAATCAAAACAAATAGAAACTTTACATATTAAATTTTGTAAGACATTATTGGGAGTGAGACAGTCGTCATGTAATACTGCTGTTTACGGAGAGTTAGGGAGATATCCCTTGTTCATTAATAGATATGTCAGTATAGTTAAATACTGGCTCAAATTATGTCATAGTGAAAATGTTATTATAAAGGCTATAGTTGAGTCAGACTTAATTGATTGTTTAAATGGTAAATCCAATTGTTTAAATGGTAAATCCATATCATTCTATTAGACTAAAGTATATCAAGAATTTTTTTTAGAACAAAGCCAAGTATGTTTAAATTTACACAATTGTTGTCATCTAAAAACAAGTCAAATATTGCCATGTTAGCAAAATTTATACATGAATCACTGGAAGTAGATTATAACGATCCGACAACTGATTTACAGTTAATTGTTTGTAATATATCATTTGAAAATATGATGCTTGTTAATGACAAAGATGTAAAAATTTATAGATTGTATAAAGCACATCCTAAATGCATTTTTCAGAAATATAATTTAAAACAAAGAAGATTGTATGTAACAAAATGGTGTGTATAAGAGTGTGAGCAAACGATGGGTTAGAATGAGTATTTTAAAATAAAAAAAAATCATCAGCAGAAAGTAAAGCAATCGCTTATATCGAGCGAATTTTCATATTATGCTACATTCATTAAAGAAAAACGTAAACATCTACATCTACATGTTACTCCCGAACAATCAATTCTGACTATGACTGGGAGGCGCTTGTCAGGAAAACTGTGTTAAAAGAATTAGTGCATACTAAAAGATAAAGATCACAGATAAAAAAGGTGCAGGATAAAAAGAATAGTGCAAGATTAAAAACATACTGGGGAGGGGACTAGAAGGTGACTGTCACCAGCCTATCCTTGAAGGCATCTAGGCTGGGACTGGATTTGACCTGATATGGAAGGCTATTCCAATACCTGAGAGTTCTAGGGAAGTAGGAATTTAGATGATATTGGGTACGGGACTTGGGGATCAGGAAGTTCAGATTTCTAGTTGGGGTCAGATGGTTATGGTCAACATATACAAGTTTGTATTGGATTTTATAGAACACTACTAGAGAGGACTGGAGTCTGCGGCTTTTTAGGGAAGGCCACCCAAGTTCATTTAGCATTTGGGTTACACTACTTTCGAAATTATAATTGTTACAGACATATCTGGCCGCAGCTCGTTGGACACTTTCAATCTTATGACTTAGATGTTTCTGCCAGGGGTGCCATATGGTGGAACAGTATTCTAGTTGTGGTCGGACATAAGTAACATAGGCTGATGTTTTGAGTTGCCTGTTTTGGGATTTGACGTTTCTCTGGATGAATCTTAGAGAATTTTTGGCCTTGGAGGTGATGTTATTTATATGCTGTGTCCAGTTTAGATCTTTAGAGATGGTTACTCCAAGGTATTTTGCAGATTCTGCTGATTTGAGAGTTTTATTATGAAGGGTGTATGGAAAGATGGTGGGGTTCTTTTTACGGGTGATCCTCAGCACCTCACACTTGTCTGGGTTGAACTCCATAGCCCAGTAACCGTTCCCAAACTTCAAGTTTATATAGGTCGTCCTGTAGTCTGTCAGCGTCAGTCTGGTCTTCAATTGTCAAGTAGACTATAGTGTCATCCG